AATATCTTAAAAAAACTCAATTAATGAGTTTGCTCTAATATAATATCACAAGAAAAATTCCATAGTACTCTTTAATCCAAACAACTATAATGATACTTTTAATTTACTCTTATTAGTAGATGTATAAAACGGATTAACATCTTATTTTGTATGTCAGTATGCACTAATCGTATAGGTGTGCTATTTTTCATATTAAGTTTATTTTTGTATAAGATCAAATTATACAAATCTACTATTTTTCATTGCTACATCAAATATTAAGTATTTGCTACACTAAATATTAAGTTTAATGTGAGACTATCTTACTATAAGAGAGTCTTAAACAGTACTTAAGCTTTCGATGTGGGATGCAGTCCCATAGCACTTACAAGGGAAACAGTTCATTTTCTTAGAGATTTTTTACAGTAAATTCAACAAAGTTTGTGTAGCATTATCTGTAAAACTGTGCAAAGGCAGAAGATGCAAATGGGTAGAAAAATATATATTGCTTGTTGGAGAGTCCTAATCAATATATAGTGTAAAACAGTTCATGTAAAAAGGGATAGTCCTAATCAATATATAGAGTATTTTTAAGTGGTGTTTGAAGTGGCGTTTGAGCCCTCTAAGGAGGGCGGTTATCGGACCCTAAGGTTCGGTGCGTTCTTCGTATCGGCGTGAAGCAGACCTTGCAAATTGTCTGGCGCTTTGGCAAGAGTAGTCGTTCCCCAGTTCGTTAATTGTCCCATGTTGGCGAGCCAATCTGCACATTTGTTTCCCTCCCGGCTTATATGGGAAGCCCGAAATTTCATGAACCTACGTGCCAGGTCCATGCAATCCTTGATAAGAGCTCCAACCAGTTATTCTGGTGTACTGTCCCGGTTGAGAATGGAGACCACGGAAGCCGAGTCCATTTCAACCCAAACCTTGCTAATCCCTTCTCTCAAGCACAGCCGCAGACCCTCCCTTAAGCCCCACAGCTCCGCTAAGAAGCTGTCCGTTTAGCCAATCTTGGTGACAAAGCCCTTGATCCATCTCCCAGCTTCATCTCTGATGAGCCCACCCACGCTAGCCAAGCCACTACTACCTTTCATAGCTCCATCAATATTAAGTTTCCTCCAACCCAAATCTGGTGGCGTCCAAAATATCCACTTCCAATGACCGTGGATAATACCTTTATGCTTAGTCAAGTATTCGAAAGCTTCCCATGAACCTTGCTTGGCCATAACGCTGACTTGGTTTGGACTAGTTATGTTAGCGTTGAAAACGAAATTGTTTCTCGCTTTCCAGATCTCCTAGAGGCAGTAGACAAAGAGGCAGCTCCACGAACGCCAGTGTTCTTTTGTTGGTGCAGTTTTTGTGAAGCCAGATGTCAAACAGCATGAATTGATGCCCATCGACTCCTCCATCCCACGCGAACAGCTCCCAGCACTCCTCGGCGAAGAAACAGTTTCGAAAGATATGGGACACTGATTCAATCTCATCTCCGCACCGAGCGCAAGTATTGTCATCCGTCTGTGCTCTTCTCCAACGTTCTTCATTCGTCATTAGCTTTCCATTATACAGTAACCAGAGGAAGGCCTTGATTTTTTCGATACATTTGATTTTCCAAAGCCAACTCCAATCTATAGTAGTCTCATCATTACCTGCAACTAGAGAGAAAGCCGAGGAAACAGAAAACTTACCAGAGGAATTATGATGCCAGTAGAGGGCAACGTGCGTCTCTTCATCCACAGGAATAGGTATAGTACGAATTTTGTTAACAATGGCTTCCGGGAGGATGTTTTGGAGCGTATCCAAGTCCCAGCTGTGATCCGGTTTAATGAAGTTGCTGACTGTGGCGTTATGCAGATCCTCCGGTATGTCGATGTCCAGCTACAAGGCGAGTGGTTTGCTATTTACCCACCAATCTGCCCAGAAGTCAAGAGATTTTCCATTTCCTACTCTCCATCTTGCCCCAAGTTCCACGATGGGTCTTCCCTTAACAATGCTGCACCACCCCCAAGAGGCCTGGTTCGGTATGGGCAATGTGAATAAATTGTCATCCCGGATGTACTTTTGGCTTAATACTTTGACCCATAATTTCTCCGAGTTGTTCAGTATTTGCCAGGCTAGTTTGGTTAAGAGAGCTAGGTTGAAGTCCTTTGCCATTCTTAGACCAAGGCCCCCAAGATCCTTAGGTTTGCAAACCATCTTCCAATTGGCAGAGTGAATTTTTCTTTTTGCCTCAGTTGACCCCCAAAGGAAATCCCTGCAGATTTTGTCAATGTCATTACATGTACTGAAGGCAAAGCCAGGGTCTGCATGGTGTAGACGGGCACACTAGCGAGGGCCGATTGAACTAACACCTTTCTGCCGGCCATGCTTAGCGTCTCCGTTTTCCAATTTGCAAGCTTAGCTCTCATCTTGTCCAAGATGTAAGTGAAGTTTTGCCTTGTCACACGTGTGTGGAGGATCGGAATGCCTAGGTTTTCTATAACCGGAATCTTTGCTATAGAGCCCACCAGACGTTTTAACCTGTTTGTCGTGTTAGTAGAGCAATAAATCAAAGATTTTGAAAACTTAATATTTAAACCTGATTGAGTGGAAAATCTATCCAAGCACCCCATCATGGTATTGATCTGCGTTTCTGAGACTTCCCTAAAGAGTAAGCTTGGCTTTAATAAGAAGACACTAGATCAAGAAACCTTAAAAAATATTTAAAAGGGGCAAGCGCGTAACATAGGCTCCACATGACCTTAATTTAGTAGACTTTGTACCTAATGTAAATCTCCGCTTCGACTTATTAACCTTATTAAAATGAAACTTAAATTAAAATTTCCGCTTCCGCTTATCAACCTTATTAAAATGAAACTTAATTTATAAATAGTCACCAAATGAAAAAACTTTATAAAATAAATTGGAAGGGACTGCACAAATGCAAGCCCCGCTGCAACAAATTACGACGTAGGCTCCACTACATGAGTAGACCTTAAATCACTACCCTTTCAAAGTGCAATGAAAGTCACTGATCTAGGCCATGCGTCTTTATGATCACCCATAGACCCCATCCAGGTAAGTATGCCTACACATACTCTTTGGCGATATTTATATGGCAAGTTTTATTCTATTGCAGGTAAGCTTTCGATGTGGGATGTATTCAATTCGCACTCCCATTTTAAAAGAGCAAGGGTGGCAATTCAATTAATCTTTTTTTTTTTTTGGAAAGCAATTAATGAACACATTCTTTACTACTGTAAAAATGGTAGCTTGGTCACATTTATAGTAGTATATATGTATCCTGAAAGGGCATTAGCCATTATGCTTGCTGCAAATTCAAGTATATTAAGCATCATAATAGGACCAAACCCCTTCTTCTGCTAATTAACACAAAAGACTAAAACAAGAAATTTGAGAAATTGATTTGGAGTCAAGCTTTGCTTACCAAAGACTAAACCGAAATCTTATAAAATAATTTGAAGGGGGCTGCGCGAACGCAAGCCCCCATTGTCACAAATTATGACGTAAGCTCCGCTACTTGAGCAGACTTTAAACTGGTATCCTTTCAAAGTGCAATGAAAGTCACCAATCTAGGCCATGAGTCTTCATGATCGCCCATAGACCCCGTCCAGGTAAGTATGTCTTCTCATATTCCATGTCAATATTTATATGCCAAGCTTTATTGTATTGCAGGTAAGCTTTCAATGTGGGATGTATTCACTTAGCACTGTTAAAGAACAAAGGGAAGCAGTTCACGTATTCACATGTATATTCTCGTGTATGCTTCCTGCAAAATATAGGCAGATTTTGAATTGTGCAAAGGCATTTGAATCGCAAAAAAGTTACTTGAATTGGTAATTTATTAACAGGAATTGGGAATCCATTCTTCGGCTTGCATAGTGAATGTAGGGTGTGTTTGGTTCGCACATAGAAATCGAAATTGGAATGGGTATCAAATACTTGGTAATGGTAATGGGTTTTGGTGAAAGTATTTAACATGTTTGGTAGTAGGGTGGAATGTGAATGATACTAATAGTAGTGCTTGAGAATGAATAAAGGAATGAAACCATTATTTTATTTGGGTATGAGTTTTTCAATTGATGGGATATTCGAAACCCATAGTAGTGTTCTAAAAACCTATCAACCAAACAACAACAATCACTTTCATACCCATTCCTATGGGCAAAACCCACGAACCAAACACACCCGTAGTGATGAACATTTGACGCCTGCAAATTTAAAGAACATATATGCTGCATCTCTTACTTTTTTTTTTTATAAGGCACAGTACGTTAGAGGATCATTATTTTATTTTGTTGTTTGGACTCCAACCATAATAGCATCACTATTGGCTTATTTTTTGAATGTTTCCCAATTTTTTTTTTTGGGTGGAGGAGAAATGAGAGAAAAGAGGAGTTCCATTGAAGAAAAAAATATGAATTTTGTGTGTTTTTTTAAAAAAAATCATGCTACTCTGTGTTTTATTGCTCAACAATGTTGGGCCCGCTAGGAACATGGTAGCCAATTGACGATCACCTTTTCTTTTTCTTTTATCTCTCTTGTTGCTAGCTTGACCCAAAAAAATAAAAAAAAAAAAAAAAAATACTTGCTTTGAAAGGGATGAATTCTCTTCATCCTAGGTAGTTTGCTCTAATGCCAGTTACTTGTAACTCCATTTTCTTTGTTTGATTTATATTGATATTGATATAAATAATATTTTAATTTTAATTTTAATTTTAATAATAATCATATACTTAATGTGTATATACTTATATTAATCCATAACGTGCATCTTCATATAATCATATGCATATAACTGATCCTTCTTATAGTACTTATTAAGAATGAGTTTCTATTTGCATTCAAAACTTTCTTTTGCATCTCTTATAGTCATTAAGATTATTTGGTTACCCAATCGTACAAGTGTGTTATTTTCCATTGCTACATCAAATACTAAGTCTTGTGCGAGACCACCTAACCCTGAGTCAATCTTACCCAAGACTTACTGTTAAATAGCTTCACAATCAAGCATAAGACTTGAAAACTTTTAAATCAACAAAGGCTGAAATATAAATAGTCAAAACTAGAAAAATATTCCATCAAGCCACAGACAAAAGCAGACTATAGAAAACAAAATTTGTAAATTCATAGTTCTAACCAACATATTTGATTTGAAGCTCAAAATGACTTAACAGTAGGTATTATCCTACACTTTAATAGCATACTTCCTCAATGGGAAGTACATTTCTTTCTTCTTCTCCCTCTCTGTCTTCAATGAGGCCTGTACAGACAAGGCAAACAATTAGCCTATGGTGTCCAGTGAAAGCACAGCTAAAAATTAAGAATGATAGAATCAATACAGCTATACTCAATAATTGACATAGATTATAATTGGAGAAATAATCAGATCAACCAATTCAAAAAGAAAGAAATGAGCATTAGACTGCAGATCAAGGGTCACCAGTTCGAACCCGGTTGGGCCCCGAACAACATTTAACATTGGGGACAATCCCAGCCAAGTTCATCAGGCAGATGACTTGGTAACCACAAGATTACAAGTTCAACTCCCAGCAAGAGATGCCTATTGGCCTTCTTGGTTTGAGAAGGTTAGTTATGGACAACCTAGGGCGGTTTAACATTTAACCCATTTTGAAAGACAGAAAGAAATCAAACAAAGATGACCTTCAAACAAATCAACCTAGGATGCTGCTTTATGTTAATGTAGAATAATCATTTCCAGGACTTCCTAAACAAAAAAGATGAGGTTCCAAAATCAATGCAACTGATTAAGAATCAAAGGCTATCAAGTTAGAAGTACCTGGTGCTTGGTAAGACGCCGGCGGATGGCTCTGGTCTTCTTAGGGCGGAGATCAAGAGGCAAATACTTCTTATTTTTGTATGCTTCTCTTAGCACAGCCTTCTGCTTCTGAGATATCACAGTCAACACCTGTGCAATCGACAACCGGACAACCTTGCTGCAACAACAAAAAGACCACCCATAAACCCCAAATTCTAGCTATAGAGAGATAAATTTATAGTGAACTCAAAGAATTAAGAAAACCCCTGACAGATTATGAATGATAAATCAATATATCCTACTCCTCTATGGTTAGGTAACTCCATTACCAAAATTAAGTGACTAAAAGTAACGCCCTTACATTATAATATGACAATTAAAACATAAATACAGCAACTCCTACATCAATGTTTAGTCATAGTCCAAATAATGCACTCAATTCAACTGATTCTCACTTCAGTATTCATTTGAAAAACATCCATTTTACAATGCCAACAAAGGATGTGATAAAAATGCCTTTATCATTAAAAAAAATCAGGTTTTACAAATGGATCAAAGACACCAGTAACACTACATTCCCTGCAAGACGCAGATAATGCAACCAAAACCATTTTCATTTTCCACAACTCTAAACTACTTCACATCCAACCAGTTTCATTGCCATTGACAAATGCTTCACATCAGTAATCCAACTCTCACAAATAAAAAAAAAATTAAAAATCAATTTGGCTCAAACAAGTCAAAACATAATAGATATAAGCTATAGAGAAAAGCAAATCCAACATCATATATAACCGTTCACAGTGAATTTCTACAATCAAGCATCAGCAAACACAATTATACAGAGAGTGAGTAAGAGCAGACATACATCTTCGAAAGTTTGTTGGGGGCACCGCCGGTGACTTTGGCGACACGGAGGAGGGCAAGCTCGGCCTTGAGATCCTTCAACTGAGCCAGAAGCTCCGTTTTACTCTTGTTCCTCAGCTCGTGAACCTTGATTCTAGCTGCATATTAGCCACAAAATTCAAAAAATCAAAACAAAAAAGTCTGAACTACAAACCATTTCCAGAAATTCTAACATCTTGAATCAAGATAATACTGCGAGTAAAGTGCCAGATTACGCACCCATTGGTGCCCTTCGGATAGGTACTGCAGATGCCGCTCTTCTTCCACCGAAACCCTAATTCATATGCGGGTTCATTAGGGATTTTATAAGCCGAAATTTGATTTTTATTTCGGGCTGCTATTTTGGGTCAAGAAATTCTTAGGCCTGTGTTTTATATCTGTAGACTATTAATGGACAAACTTATTGGGCCCAATTTATTTTAGAAGACTCATTACTATTAACTTATTAAGATAAATCATCAAAGCCCATTCTTCTTGGGCCCAACTTATTTCATTAATGCAAATTATTCTGTAGACCCGGGTCCAAATGTTTACAATTTACATACTAAATGTTCATAATTTACCTTTTAAAAATTCACAATTTGTATACTACGAACATACAATGTTAACATATATATAATTCTTGTTTTGTATACACAAATTCCTTTCAAATACTACAGTCATACAATATTAACATATTAGGATTTGATCACCATGTATTATATTCACAAATTTCCTTCTACAGTTGTTATGTGCTTTGACTTAGAAACACAATTTATATTCTAAAATTCTAAAAAAAAGATCACAATTCCAGTACTAAAAATACAAACTTATACGTCATTTAAGACTAGGGTCCCTAATCCATGGTATAACAACTCATTTCATTACTTTTCCGCTCAAGAAATCATTAAAAATACCGCAAGCCTAATTATATAGTGGATCATAATCCACTAATAAATATATTTTTTTAAGAGGAGATAAATAGTATACTGTAATATCATTATTAATGTACTATAAGTTCATTTTTAGGTAATATACTAAAAAAAATCAAAAAAAAAATATGTAGTACACTAAAATTAAATATGTATATTAGTGGTCAACTTTACAATGTGGATTATGATCTATGGTATAATAATGGAATATACAAAGTATTTTTTTGAACAAGAAACTTGTAACCAAGCAGCATAAGCTTGTGAAAATAAAATACACTACAATCATCAGGTTCGTAAGCAAAGGTTTAGACTTTAGAGAGACATGTCTACGCCATGTTACTGTTGGTTTACATTTGAAACATGGTTTTGTTTGTTCCACAAATACAAATAGAAGGTACTGTTGGTGTAGGGCTAAGCATAATCCGAAGAAACCGAAAAAACCGGCCGAACCGCGAACCGAAATAGACCAACCGAACCGAATCGATATCCGAGTTGCAAAATCGAACCGACGCCTAAAACGACGTCGGTTTACGGAGTTCGGATAGGGTGGGTTAAAAATTCACCCGACCCGTCCGAATACCCGATAAAAGCTAGGGTTGCGTATGTAGATAGCAATACGACGTCGTTTAGGCTTAGTATATATATATATGTTGTTACTCCTAACTCCACACTTGCGCAGTCAGTCTCTTGATTCCTTTCTCTTGCTAGGGTTTCCAGACGAGAGCTTCTCTTCTGAGTCTTCTCTCATTCTCTGAGACTCTCAGTTCTCTCTGGTTCTCTGCGCAGTCTCACACTCTCACCTTGCGATTTTAGTCCTCACTCCTCAGTTCTCTCTAGTCTTTCTGTACTAGACAAAGACTACCTTCTTTGTAGTGTATACTCTCCTTGTCCGGTTGGTTCTGTTGGTCACTGGTGGAAGCCCTCATGCCCTGACTGGTGTAGTGGTGCTGTGGTGGACTACTGGTGTCGTCGAGACGTCGACTTCCAGTAAACTGAAGGCCTGAAGGCTGAAGCCCTCGTTCTCCGGGGTATTTGTGAGAAAAGAAGTAACTCGTTGACCCTATTCTTAAATTTATTGTGATGTATTATGTGGTCTCTGTGATATTGTAGTGGAAGCACTGACTTTGTGTCTTTGTTAGTTGTTACTGCAAACCCTAGTTTTGTAAAAGTTATTTCTTAGATATGTTGGCATATTGCTCTGAGTTTATTGCGAATTTGTGATCTATTTTGTGTCTCTGTGATAATGTGGTGGAAGCACTGATTATGGTTTCTATGATTCTCTGAATTGTGGACTGTGATTAAGTCAATCTGTTGAGAAGTTCCAGATTGTATATCACTTGTCCCTTGTCCCTTGTTTGTGATGTTATGATACTTGATTATGGTTTCTATGATTCTCTGAATTGTGGACTGTGATTAAGTCAATCTGTTGAGAAGTTCCAGATTGTATATCACTTGTCCCTTGTCCCTTGTTTGTGATGTTATGATACTTGATTATGGTTTCTATGATTCTTTGAATTGTGGACTGTGATTAAGTCAATCTGTTGAGAAGTTCCAGATTGTATATCACTTGTCCCTTGTCCCTTGTTTGTGATGTTATGATACTTGATTATGGTTTCTATGATTCTTTGAATTGTGGACTGTGATTAAGTCAATCTGTTGAGAAGTTCCAGATTGTATATCACTTGTCCCTTGTCCCTTGTGGTGGAAGCACTGACTGTTTTAACTAATAAGAGTCTGTTTAATTTGAGTGTTATAAACTTATAATGTCTCTTAAAGGCTTTAATTGGTGGAAGCCCCTTAGAAATTCAGTTAATGATGTTGATGAAATGAGCTGTTTTTATGTTAATTTGAGTGTTATAAACTTATAATGTCTCTTAAAGGCTTTAATTGGTGGAAGCCCCTTAGAAATTCAGTTAATGATGTTGATGAAATGAGCTGTTTTTATGTTATAACAGTCTCTGATTCATCTGGATATTTGAAATATATCCCTGAATCTGGATTTCTTTGTAAGTTTATGGATGTATTCCCTTAATTGTATTTGTATATTTGTAATTTTGTATTGAATAATGCCCTTTAATTAATTATGCATTCCTGTTTAATGATAGCACAAAATGTGTCTGATTCTGGAATGCTTTTGAATCCTGTTGTGTGTACTGATAGTTCACCATTTTTAGATGGATAATATCAGTATGCCTGGTACTCCTGGTAGTCAACCTCCCAGCTCCTCAATTGATGGACCTTCAGGGGTGGAAGCCCAAACTGTTGAGAATCAACAGAATGAGCAACCTCCTACTGCTGTTCCAGCCAAGAAGAGGAAACAGGTTGCTTCCAGATCACCAGTGTGGGATCATTTTGAGGCAATAAAGGACACTAATAATGTGGTTGTAAAAGGCAAATGCATTTATTGTGCCAAAATTTACCACTGTGAGACAAAAAAACATGGGACTTCTTCCTTAAGAAATCACATGGTTAGCTGTTTGAAAAATCATCACTCCAAGGAAACTAGGCAGTCCCTGTTAACATTTCAGGCTGTTACATCACTTACAGATGGTCAGCCTACTGTGGGAGAAATAGGGACTTGGGTTTTTAATCAAGAGTCAATAAGGAGGGCCTTGGTTGAAATGATAATCATAGATGAATTGCCTTTTAGGTTTGTGGAGGGAATAGGTTTCAGGAGGTTCATAGCTATTGCTTGCCCTAGGTTTATAGTTCCATCCAGGTGGACTATAAGTAGGGACATCCTAGTTGTCTATGATGAGGAGAGACTGAAATTGAAGCAATTTTTAAGGGGAAGCAGTCATAGGGTTAGTATCACTACAGATTCTTGGACATCCATCCAAAGAATTAACTACATGGTAGTTACTGCCCATTTCATTGATTCTGAGTGGAAGCTTCATAAGAAAATCCTTGCATTTGTCCCTGTTACTTCTCACAAAGGTGAATATCTAGCCAAAGCCCTAGAAAATTGTTTGCTTGAGTGGGGGCTTAGAGATGTGTTTTCTGTGACTGTTGATAATGCCTCATCAAATGACACTGCTATGGTTTTTCTGAAGAAAAAAATGCTGTCTTGGGGATCATCTACTGTGAGGACAAAGTATCTTCACATGAGATGTATTGCCCATATCTTAAACCTAGTAGTTCAAGATGGTCTTAAGGATTGTGATAGTTCAGTTAAGAAGGTTAGGGAGGTGGTTAGATATGTTAGAAACTCTCCTGTTAGACTCAAGAAGTTCAGGGATTTGGCTGATTGGTTGAGTATTGAACAAAGGTCTTCTTTGTGTTTAGATGTTCCAACCAGATGGAACTCTACCTATTTAATGTTGCAGTCTGCATTAACTTACCAAAAAGTGTTTGAATCTTTGGAGTCTGATTGCTCTTTTAAGTCTGATTTGGGTAATTCAATTCCTGATTTTATGGACTGGGAATCTGTTGGCAGTCTGGTTCATTTGCTGAAGTGTTTTTATGACATGACCATTAGAATTTCTGGTTCTTTATATGTCACCTCAAACACTTTCTTTACTGAGATTTCTGATCTGTACTGCCTATTGAAAGGCATGGTGGAAGTTGGTGGGCCAGTTGGTGTGATGGGGAAAATTATGAAGGCAAAATTTGAGAAGTATTGGGGTGATGTGGAAAAAATGAATCTAATGATATTTTTTGCAAACATTCTAGACCCTAGAGACAAGTTAGAGTATATGCCTACTCAGTTTAATCATATGTATGGTGAGGAAAAGGGTCAAAAATTCTATGACAAAGTAGTTGCTGGTCTTGCTGAGTTATTTGATGATTATTCTACATCTGCCTCTTCTTCTGTCCCTTCTGTGCCTGTCCCTTCTGTGCCTGTGTCTGTACAGCCTACATCTGCCTCTTCTGTTTCTGTTGGGAAGCCACAACATTTTCTGAAGTCCCAAATTAAAAAGCAAAGATTGGAGTCTGGGGGTAAGAAACAAACTGAGTTGGATATGTACTTGAGTGAGGGAATAGTTGAAGAGGAAGAATCTTTTGACATACTTGGATGGTGGAAGATCAACTCTGCTAGGTTTCCAGTTCTGTCTAAGCTTGCTAGGGATGTCCTAGCCATTCCAATCTCCACTGTAGCCTCAGAATCTGCCTTCAGTACATCTGGAAGAGTATTGGATCCTTTTAGGAGTTCTTTAACTCCAAAAATTGTGGAAGCATTGGTGTGTACACAAGATTGGCTTAGAAAGCAAAATACTCCTTTATGTATTGAGGAGAATCTGGAAGAGTTGGAGAGGTTTGAAAAAGGTATGACTTTGTAGTTTGAACATTATAATCCTTTATACTTATATTTTAAATTGCTTAAATTGTTAATACTTTTCTTGTTTATTTTGCAGAGTTAAGTGGTGATGGTGGAAGTGGGAGGTCTCTTGGTTCTACACTTGCTACAATTCCT